GGGGGTGTGGTAATGTACGGTGAGTGGTCTTGGGTATGTGGTGTTCCATTGCTTGGCTCACGTTTTCATACCATATCTCTAGTGTGCTTTCTATTTGGGAAGTGTGTCTGTTGTGTAGTTGGGTGATTTGTTGATTGTGTAACTCCTTTTGGAATTCCTCCCAGTTGGATCGGCTGTAGCTGTATCTCATCCTGGCAGGGATCTGTATTGGCGACGTGGAGAGTGTGGCTGCGATAGGGAGATGGTCACTGGCCGTTATTGGGCCGGGTTCCATTTGCAGATTAAGATGGTGATGCTGGTTTGTTAGTACTATGTCTGGATGTCCGGTGTGACCTGCTCTGATGTATGTGGGAAATTCCGGGCCAAGGTGTACTGCGTTGCCGTGACTCAATAATGTGTTTAAAATCTGCCCTACGTCGTTGTTATCCTGGTGCCCCAAGACGCGGTGTCGTGCATTTAGGTCACCCAGAAAATAAGCTGGTATATTTCTTCTCATCAGTTTGAACATGTCTGCTAGTGGGAATATGGGTCTTCTAGGAGGGAGGTAACAGGTGCCAATTACGATGGGTCCTGTTGGGCTGTTACTTTCGATCGCCAGAAAGTTTTCTTGAAATGAGTCGTGTATATTGTGTTGTATGTTTCGTTTGATGGCTATGGCAATTCCATCATGTTGTAGGTCTTGACTGTTTTTGTTTGGTAGACTGTGATCAAGTCCCAGGTTGCTGATCTGACTTTCTGCCTCACTTACGCACAATTGCAGGGTCTCAATTGTTTCTCTTACTTCGACAACACAACATACATACTGTATATTGTTTCTCGCTATTGATTTTTATTTTTCATTTTTGTATTTCTTTATGGTTCTTTATTATTATTATTATTACAGTGTTGTTATTGTAATTATTAGCATTATTTTGTATATTATTATTATTATAAATTTTATTTACTGTGAATTATTATTATGATTATTACATTTTCGCCCCTTAGGTCCCGATGTGGGTCAGTAACCTGTGCCCCGGTGGGCTAATCCCCGTAAAAAAAAAAAAATAATAATAAAATTCAGAGTTTTTCATACCATGCGGATTTATGAGGATAATATCTGGCTCTATGATACGGTATGTGTTATATAGTTCGCTTGCTCTCTGTGGGATTCATGCTAAAACATTGTTGGATTATTTTAAGTTTGTTTATTATGAAGGCTGGTGCCTAGAGCTGGTTTGCGCCATTTTTGCTGACCGGTGTTCCCCTGACCCCTCCTGTCCGTCAGCAGGCCCAGGCGGATCCTTTTATATTATCATTATGTTGACTGATCAACTTTTTTTTTTTTTATTGGGCACTCCTCTACATCCTGTGTAAGGTGAAGCGCAGAAGCGTTTACAGCGCCCAACAGGGAAGCATGCTAAGTTCTTGCCTTTCAGTCTCATGAGTTAAGAGCGTAGAAGCCTGAAAGTCAAGGGCGTAGAAGCCTTGAAGAGTCAATGGTTTATGTCATCAAGTTATTGGAAGATCCAACAACTTTCCCTGAATGCGAAACTTTCGGTTTACATGAGGTACCTACTTTACTGCTAGGTGAACAGGGGCCAATTGGGGTTAGGAAGTATGTCCAAACAACTTTTCCACCGGCCCGGGAATCGAACCCGTGACATCTCTCTTGCGAGGCAAGAGCGGTACCGCTTCTACCACCGGCGCCCCAGACTGATCAACTCTCTCTGTTCTGTTGTGTCTTGTGATGCTTCTTCCTTTCTTAATTAGTGTTTCAATATGTGTGTCATCTAGGTTTTTGTCTGAGTATGTGTATTTTATCTTGCCTTGCCTTATTTCTGCCAACAGTCTTTCTGTTGAGACTATGGGGGGAGCTGTAGTGGAGAAAAATCGTAGACCAGTTTCATACCCGAGGTCTTCGTTCTCCGTGGTCCTTCTGGGTGAAGGTGGTGGTGTGTGCCATAGTTCCTGCTTGATTCTTTTTTGGGTGCTGAATCTTGCGGCTTGTTCTGTTATTGTGGTGATTTCATCTTCGTTTTCGTCACCCATCGTTTCCTCCTCGCTTGGCGGCTCGGGTTGTATGTCTGAGATAGCCTGTTCTTGAGTCGATGGTTCTTGATTTGCAGTGCTCTCTGGTTTGTATATTATGTTGAAAATTTCGGTAGAAAGGCACGTCGTTTGGGAATTCCATGTCTGGCAGGTTGTTGGGGGCGAAAATATCCCTTGCTGCCTTGGCAAAAGTTCCAAGTTAGGCATGTTCATGATGTGGGCGTGGATTATGGAGTCATTATTTTTTTGCAAAGATTATTTCCAAGTTAAAGCCAAATAGGTTGCTTTACGGGGGTGGTGTGGCGACTTTTTCGAGGATCTTTGTCGTTTCTCGGGTTAATTTTGTCACAGCTGAATATGTTCTGTTTTGCTGTTCCTGTGTCTTCTTCCTCTTCTTCTCCCTCTTTTGGTTAACTATTGCTTTTTGTATGAGGCAGCGAGTAGCCAGTGTTCTGTGACCTCCTTCACAGTTTAGGCATTTGGGGGCATCCTTGTTTTTACACTCCCTAAAGGTGTGCCCCTTGTTCCCGCATTCTGAGCAGTGCTTGGTGTCCTTGTTAGGGCAGTCTGTAGCCGTGTGTGAGTATTGGTAGCAGTTCCAGCCTGGAGTAAGGGGGAAGAATTCCTCCTGCTCCATCTGGCTGCTGCTGACATGGTAGTAGGAGAGACAAAGTCCCTCTTGGATTGCTCTTTGGGCCATGGCTATTTCTGTAAATCGTATTTTGAGCATGGATGGCAGTCTGGGCAGCTTGACCACTTCCTCCACCTTGGCCCATTGGTTTCTATGTTCTACATCTAATACCAATTGCTGTTCACTTGCTTCCTCGGTGATCGCTCTATCTAATCGTTTGACTACAATTGACTTCCTTGCTCGGAGTTGTGGAGGGACTGCAACTTCAAATTTTGTAGACTTGAGTTTTCTTGTGCTCTCGCTCGATAGGAGTAAATCTACATCATTGTCAGTCGGGCACAGGGCGATGAAGGAGTCCTTAGTCTTGATGAGGTTAGATATTTTGATGAGTAGAGTTGCACTGAGGCGTCTCGCTAGTTCTGCTTTTCTTTCATCAGACACGCCCCCTTCATGCCCTCACGGACTTTTATTTATTTATTTTTTTAAGATTTGTAGGAATATTACCTACGCGGACCTTAAACTAAAATGCTGGTCCATCCACTGCTGGGATAAAACACCAGCATCTTTTAGTTAACTGTACATCTCCACCACTAGCGTGGGGGTGGATGCTCGGTAAGAAACTGTAGGGTTTCTTGAGTGGTTGGTGGTTAACATTTTGGCAACCTTCTCTGCTGTGATAGAGGGTTGTATGTTTCTCCTAGCGAATCCCTTATAAACTTGAAACAACTGCTCAGGAGTGAAGTAGCTACGGCATCTGTACAGCATTCCTAGTTTTCGGGAGGCAAGTTTAGCAATGTTGTGGATGTGTGGTTTCCATAACATGTTAGAGGAAATGGTGAGGCCTAGCATATTTATTTTAGAATTTGGCAGAATGAGCGCTTCCTGAAATGTGATTGATGGGAGATCATCTAATTCGGAAAGTGTAATCTGTAAATACTGAGTTTTATTACAATTGAATTTAACCAGGTTTCTACCTCCCCATTCGGAGATGCTGCACAGATCCGCATTGATAGATGAAATGATATCAGCTCTAGAAACAAATCTAGTTAAAGAATTAGGGGGAAGGGAAAAATATGAAGAAGAGTGAAGAGTAGAATCATCAGCGTAAGAATGGATAGAATTAGTTGTAGTTTGAAGTAAATCATTGATAAAAAGAGGGAAGAGTGTAGGTGAAAGAACAGAACCCTGTGGGACACCACTATTGGTAGAGAAAGAGCGAGAGATCGATCCCTCGACAACAACTGCCATGGATCGGTTCTCAAGGAAGCTAGAAATTAGAGAACAAAGTGGGGGAGAAAAACCATAAGAGGGAAGTTTAGATAGCAAAGACTTGTGCCATATCCTGTCAAATGCTTTGGAGATGTCGAGGGCCACGACGAAAGTTTCCCCATAATCCCTAACCAAAGATGGGCGCAGTAGGAGAGCAGATCACCAGTAGATCTCGCCTGGCAAAAGCTAAACTGGTGATCCGACAAAAGAGAAAGGCGTTCAAGGTGACGGAGAAAATGAGAGTTTAAGATAGTTTTGAAAATCTTAGAGAGGGATGAAGTTAGGGCAATGGGGCGGCAGTTAGAAGGATTGGAATGGTCACCCTTCTTTGGTAGGCTGAATCGAGGCATGCTTCCAAGAAGAAGGAAAATTTTGGGTTTTGAGGCAAAGGTGAAAGAGGCGAACAAGCACTGGCGGATCCAAGGGGGGGGGGGGGCCGGTTCTGAACTCCCCCTTCTCACCAGATAATTCCAATACTTTTCTTTAATGCAGTACTGTACTCAGGTGTTTTTGTGTAGTAAAAAGTATTTACTATTAATCTTAGAATGTCTCCTAATATGAACTGCACATGGCTTCAAAACGGCCACATGATATTGGTCAGATTTAAAATAATAAGTAAAAAATCTGGAAGCCTCCCTCCCCCCCTCCACCCAAAAAAAAAAATCCTTCAAGTGGACGGGCTCGCTGTGCTCACCATTTCCCCCACCCACGACTTCTTGGATCCCCCTCTTTTGATATTCCTGGATCCGCCCCTGTTGAATACTAAATCTTGGTGCACAAAGAGACAGTATGATCAACACTGCACTTGAACACCCTATAGTTTAAGGTACCCATACTGCTGGATTGATTGCTTATCCTGGGTGTGAACCAGCGACTGTTAAAACAGGAGGTGAGTGCTGTATCCACTCTGCTGCTGCACCACATTATAGGATGTATTATAAGGTTTTAGGTTGTTACAAGATGAAAATAGGTGAATAATAGCACCTAGGTGGTGGTAGTTCAAGTGTGTTGTTAAAATTTGTATTTTAAATATTTATGTTAGTTTCTGTGAAATAACAATTAATTCTCCCAGGTGGTAGATACCGGCAAGGTGACTCCATTATGATAAAGGCCATTTTAAGAAGGCTACACGAGGTGCTGGCAAGACCCTCTCCAGAACGAGGGACATTTACCAAACCTGGGGAAGCTTTCCTTGCCCTGGCTGGGTACTCTGTTGGTTTGGGCAACTTCTGGAGGTTTCCTTATTATTCATACAAGTATGGTGGAGGTAAGCCTTACAGTATATATTTTGTTATACATAATCTCTCTCTCTCTATATAAATATATATAAATATATATAAATATATATATATATATATAAATATATATATGAATATATATATATATGAATATATATATAAATATATATATATATATAAATATATATAAATATATATAAATATATATATATATAAATATATATGAATATATATTATAGATATGTAAATTGTATGTGTGTATATATATATATATATATATATATATATATATATATATATATATATATATATATATATATATATATATATATATATATATATATATATATATATATATATATATATATATATATAAACAACTGTATATTAGTGTTTAGCGAAGTCGACTGTTCTACAACTTAAATGTTTATGTTTCTTGTAAACTCATCATTATTACTACTAGATAATACTGTTCTGTTCTAATTTTATCATTAAAAAAAAGAAGTTTCATTTTGTGATAGTTATGACATCAATTGATATAATTGCAGAAATATAATTTTATAGTAAGGTATTGGGTATTGCTTATGGCTTGGGTGAAACTATGGGGTCCTGTGTTTGCTGTATATTCATAAGCACCTGCAATGTAGAATACAGAGCTGTATAAGGAAGAGGCAATGAGCTTCTAAAAAACTATCCAATTTATATTGAAATCCTTTTAGGTAATGAAACTGGACTGTATTGATTTTTATTTTATTTATATTTCCATCACTTATTAGCTTACTAGCTGTTGTTTCTTTCTGTGTTATGACCTCCATTGTCCAGTGGTAGTACAGGAGGAAACAAGACTACCTAGAGGAAACCCTTCTTACTGTTCATATTTCTTGGTCGGGGGTTGAACCCAGGACAAATTAGTGAGAGGCACACGAATAATCCACATTACTCTAAGTAATACTCTTCTTAGTGTTATATGTAGTGTGTGAGAGAAACCACTGTCCTGTATGAACGGATGTCTCCACAGGGATCAGTATGGGTAGTGATAGTGATGAGCTGTGTAAATGGTAAGTGTTAGATTCTAGTCCCGAGTGCTTAAAAAATCATGCCTGGTTCCACATATTCAGTACATGTACTGTAATCGTATGTTAAAATGTTTTGGTAGAAGCAGTGGACTACTGTACATAACACTGGTGTGTGTACCAGGTGTATGAGCAAGATACATTTATCATTGATGTACTGTACAGTCAAAGTGTTGGTGGAAAGTGCAGTCTCCCATATTATTTATACTTAGGATTTTGCAATTTCACTTTTCATGTATTCACCTACACTTAAAATGAATAAGTTACAGTACAGCTTCTCAAAGGCTGGGTGGACTGATTTTAAAAAAAAAGATATATAGCTACCATTTGTATTCATCTTTCCACCAGCATCATTACCATTTATGAGGACTGAGTGTGTTCCCTCCCCACAGCGGCCTTCCTCATCTCATACATCGTGTGCATGATGTGTATCGGTCTTCCTCTATACTTCATGGAGTTAGCTCTGGGACAGTATGTAAGCCTGGGACCTACACAGATGTTCTCCTTCATGTGCCCGCTCCTCTCAGGTGAGGTTAGGGATCCTATACTGTACTTTCATTTAGGTAAGATTTCATACTCTGCTTCTTTCAGTTGTGCTCCAAGGCTCCAATTATCTCAGCCACATTTTAATGCTTTGTTATTCTTAGTGAAATTCTTGGGCTTCACCCCTCTTTGGTGCATTATAGAGCCTCATTAACCTTGCTCAAGTAATCAGGTAAGGTAATCTAGTGTGTCATAATAATTGTGGCAAAAAGTGAAAGTAGAGACAACAGTCATAATAAAATGGGGATCTTAGCAGTATTACACATCTGGTTGCAAATTATCACTGATATAAAAACTGGAACAAAATAGAGTACAGTATTGATATAGCAAATAACATTATGAAATTATTACAAACATATTACACGAATAATTTATACAATATAAGATACAGGTAGTACAGTATTAATAAAACAGCATTTTAATTACTGTACTAGGTATTATCTGTACAGGTATTCCCCGATTTATGATAATCCATATTGACGTTAATTAGGTTTTAACACCCTCTCGCGATTGACGTGAGGCAAATTCCACTTTAATCATAGCTATCACGAGGCAAAACTCTCTGACGCGGAATAAAAATACTTATCAGATCAAAGACGGCCACTGTACACACAAACTTATTTTTCATCCTCTGTGCAGTTCCACTTACCTGTGAGCCACCTGACGGCCACCTGCTTATTTCATTTCCGCGCTTTGTTCCAACGTGATCACACCTGCCTTCACTCGTGTAACCAACGTTATCAATATATATGATTGCGTAATATTTTGATCGCTGTAATATTTGCCGTTATTGGTGAGAGGAAAATATTTTATTTCAGATTATGCTCTTTGAAAACGGCTAGCAAGCCTCTCCGGACTCCCCAGAGGCTGTCTTGGAGTCAGAGTGACGCCTCCGCCCCTCAACAAGAGTCTCTTAGCCTCGAAGGGGACATGTGATAATGACCAGGCTTGTTATTACCCTGTATTAATGTAGTGTACGGGAGGGAGTTATTTATTTTACCTTTCTTTTATTTCTTTTGTTTTGTTTTATTCTTTCAACTTGTTTCTTTGGTTTATTTTAAACTTCTACTTCTCTTTCTTTAAGTTCCTTCCTTACTTTACATATTCCTTCTGTTATCTATTTCTTAGTTATTTTACTTATTATACATATAACCTTTAGCCTCTTAACATGTGGCAACATGGTGAGGTCTAGGGCACATACATATAACTTTTAATCTCTTAACATGTGGTAGCATGGTGAGGTCTAGGGCACATACATATAACTTTTAACCTCTTAACATGTGGTAGCATGGTGAGGTCTAGGGCACATACATATAACTTTTAACCTCTTAACATGTGGTAACATGGTGAGGTCTAGGGCACATACATATAACTTTTAACCTCTTAACATGTGGTAGCATGGTGAGGTCTAGGGCACATACATATAACTTTTAACCTCTTAACATGTGGTAGCATGGTGAGGTCTAGGGCACATACATATAACTTTTAACTTCTTAACATGTGGTAACATGGTGAGGTCTAGGGCACATACATATAACTTTTAACTTCTTAACATGTGGTAACATGGTGAGGTCTAGGGCACATACATATAACTTTTAACCTCTCAACATGTGGTAGCATGGTGAGGTCTAGGGCACATACATATAACTTTTAACTTCTTAACATGTGGTAACATGGTGAGGTCTAGGGCACATAGTGTACATATAACTTTTAACCTCTTAACATGTGGTAGCATGGTGAGGTCTAGGGCACATACATATAACTTTTAACCTCTTAACATTTGGTAACATGGTGAGGTCTAGGGCACATACATATAACTTTTAACTTCTTAACATGTGGTAACATGGTGAGGTCTAGGGCACATAGTGTACATATAACTTTTAACCTCTTAACATGTGGTAGCATGGTGAGGTCTAGGGCACATACATATAACCTTTAGCCTCTTAACATGTGGTAGCATGGTGAGGTCTAGGGCACATACATATAACTTTTAACTTCTTAACATGTGGTAACATGGTGAGGTCTAGGGCACATACATATAACTTTTAACCTCTCAACATGTGGTAGCATGGTGAGGTCAGGGCACATACATATAACTTTTAACCTCTTAACATGTGGTAACATGGTGAGGTCTAGGGCACATACATATAACTTTTAACCTCTTAACATGTGGTAGCATGGTGAGGTCTAGGGCACATACATATAACTTTTAACCTCTAAACATGTGGTAGCATGGTGAGGTCTAGGGCACATACATATAACTTTTAACCTCTCAACATGTGGTAACATGGTGAGGTCTAGGGCACATACATATAACCTTTAGCCTCTTAACATGTGGTAGCATGGTGAGGTCTAGGGCACATACATATAACCTTTAGCCTCTTAACATGTGGTAGCATGGTGAGGTCTAGGGCATTTGCATTCAGTTGTATTTAATGGTATCAAGATATGGGGAAGAACAAAGGTGATACTGCAGGAGAATGATACCCCAACATTCAATAAAGATGGTGTATTTAAAATGAAATTGAGTACCTGACACTTTCCCAGAACATAAACACATGAACCATTCTTTGGAGTTCACTCAAGACTTGGTCAAATTTACGTTAACACTGATACAATTTACAAAGACCACTTGGTCTTACTCCCACGTCAGCCAAACAAGTATTCACTGTTAACATGACCAATGTTCATTCAAAATTACGGTATTATAGGTTACTGGTAACATTCTATGACAGTGACACACAACAAAGATTGGTCGTCAGTCCTTCAATTACATTACTACTTACACTTACACTTCCACTTCCACTTCATAGCACTTTTCAAATGCCCGTGACAAGATTGATATTTGTGTACAGTAATTATTATTACTCTTAATACTGGGGATACAGGTTACTCTGGCACATACAGTTATCACGACTCCATTAGTCAGCGATACAACTTAACCTTTTTTTTTGCGGGGAATAGCCCACCTGGGCACAGGTCATCGGGAGCGAAAAACAAGAGTAAAAAGAAATTAAAAATAGAAAAGAAAAAAATTATATTAATCTACACCACCCAAGATGCCGGAAAACCACCTTTTTGAAGCGAGACAGATTGTATGAGTATAGAAACACAGAAGGAGGCAGAGCATTCCACAGTTTGGCTGTGTGAGGAAAGAAGGATGTACTATAACGGGTTATTCTAGTGTGACCGACATCCACAGAGAAACGGTGGGCGCCGCGGGCAAGACGAGTGTTACGAGTCCACGGCCTTGCCGGCGGTACACAGGATGCCAAATCCACCGAATATTGCCCGTTAAATTACCTGTAAAAGAGAGACAATGAAGCAACATTGCAGAGAAGAGACAGGGAAGAAAGATTATAATTATCAACTATAGGAGGAGAGTCAATAAGACGAAATGCCTTTGATTCCACCCTATCTAACAGTTGGACAAAAGAAGAGCCACCCCAGATATGAGAGCAGTACTCCAAGTTAGGACAAATGAATCCCTTATAAACTTGAAGCAACTGCTCAGGAGTGAAGTAACTACTGCATCTGTAAAGCATTCCCAGCTTTCGGGAGGCAGCTTTAGCAATGTTGTGGATGTGTGGTTTCCATGATATATTAGAGGAAATGGTAAGGCCTAGTATATCTATTTTAGAACTTGGCAGAATGATTGCATCCTGAAATGTGTTGGGTGGGAGATCATCTAATTTGGAAAGTGTAATTGGTAAATACCCTGTACTGAGTTTTATTACTATTGAATTTATCCTAGTTTCTACCTTCCCATTCGGAGATGCTGCACAGATCCGCATTGATAGATGTAATGATATCAGCTCTAGAAACAAATCTAGCTTAAGAATTAGGGGGAAGGGATAAAATTGAAGAATAGAATCATCCGCATAAGAATGGATAGAATTAGTCGTCGTGTGAAGTAAATCATTGATAAAAAGAAGGAAGAGAGTTGGTGAAAGAACAGAACCCTGTGGGACGCCACTATTGGTAGATAAAGAGCAAAAGATCGATCCCTCGACAACAACTGCCATGGATCGTGTTGTGTCTTCACAGATTACCTGAAATACACATTAGATAATGTGTTGTACGCTGCTACCTGTCATGTTGTATACCCAACGTTAATATATTCCATCATCTTCGCCGGATGATGCAGGATAAAAAGAGACACTTTCTACCTTAATGCTGTATTTATAAGGTGCACAAGGAGAGGCTCCGCTATAAGTGCTTAAACATAATACTTGAGATATAAACAGTGAAAACCAAAGAGCATCGATCAGATACTAAAAATGCATTGACAGAGAAAACTAGCTCTACACCATGTGATAAAGAGGCAGAGGGAGGGAATTTTGAACAATTACTGTAATAATGAAACTATCACATTGTATAGAGTTATGTGCATAAAATGACACTAAAATCTATAATTATTACACAACCAATCCCACTGTCATTACCTTAACCCTTTTCAGGTGTTAGGAAACTGTGTGGATTCTGACAATTTGTCATATTGACATTGTGTCTTAGAATTGTGCCAGAAATACACCCCCAGAATTATGAAACCTATTTCTGAAACACCCAGTAAATATGCTGAATTGTATACCTGCATTGTATATCTACATGCTGAACTGTATACCTGTACCAGCATTGTTTGAATACATGTACAGTACAGTATACTGGTACCAGGCTAAAGGTCCATATGAGTCCCGGCCCTGACATGGTGCATCCTAGAGTGCTAAGAGAGTTGTGCAACGAGCTTGTCGAGCCCCTGAAGATCCTGTTTTGTAAATGCCTGGATGAACAAATGGTCCCCAGTGAATGGAAAGAGGCTTATGTGAGTCCTATCTTCAAGAAGGGCGATCGTCACTCCACGAACAACTATAGACCGGTGAGCCTGACCAGCATAATATGTAAAGTACTTGAGAGTATTATCAGAGATGCCGCAATGGAACATCTAATATGAAACAATCTTGTAAAGGATTGCCAACACGGTTTT